ATTTGTAACGGTAACGTAGTAATGACTTCTTATCGTTAAATATAATACTGTATACTGCACTATAAGCACTGATTAGCATATCTTGTGGTATAATGCAATTAATTTGATGTATATCAACATTATTTAAATTTGATAACATTATTATTGTGTACCATATAAATATAGAGTATTCTAGTATTTAATTTAATTACATAATAATGTTGTGCTTAGAATTTAATATAAATTTATGGATCACAATCATGTAAGTATGAAAATGTTTTTAATAATTTTAGAATTTGTATGAGAATAAACAAAACATATTTTCAACTCTCCTTTAATATGAATGTAATTGTTTTAAATGATTGTAGTCCCATTAAAGCAGAGCTGTTTGTTTCCATTTATTTTCATATATTTCTACAATAGGTTTGAATGTATACAGTAAAGCATAAACTCAATACGTATACAATTGGTGGTGTAAAGCAGTGTATATTATATTATTATATACGCAATCAATATCAATACTATACTACTGTATACTGATAGAGGCCTGTTATTATGGACTGTTTAATAGAGTATATGAGACACAACAAACTGAAACGCGCGATGTGTCTGTGAAAGCAAACTGTAAACTTAAATATTTCACATAATAATGTATAGCAATCAAGTTGGGTATATTATAATATGAAGAGAAATACTTAAGTTTACAGTTTGCTATCACAGATACATCGAGCGTTTCAGAATTGGGCTTTTCATATAATGAAGTTTCCCATCTGGTACGCACAGATGAATGCCCCATTTCATATTACAAATTGTTAGTCATTTTTATCGCGAATCTCTTTTTCACAATTTTGGTCATCGATTAAATTCACAAATTGAAATCAAATGAATATTTCAACATTTTATTCATTCAAAATACTTTTAATTACAAATAAATATGACAGAATAGTTAATTATGAGTAAATGATATTTTAAATAAATAATTGTATGAATAAAATGTTAAAATATTCATTTTATCTTTTAATTTTTGAATTTAACTGATGAATATATTTTTTGAACAAAAATTGTGAAAATATCTTAAAACTTAAATACTTAAAAATGATAAAAATTAGTGATAAAAATGACTAACAATTTGTAATATAAAATGCGATAATATTATTCGGTGTGCCGTACGTACCAGACGGACGACTTGAGTATATATAATATCCTTATATAATACAGTGTGAAGAGATGGATCACTCAATGATATTAGTATTCTTTTGCCGTATATTTTGTTTTAGGTTTAGTTTCATTTAATACTCTTTTGCATCAAACACTAAATCATTGGTCCTCTCGTAGATAGCCTTTCCTCTCACTTATTTAATTCATTGTCAGTAAATATAGTCATCACTTACTCTACTTACTATTAGCGTTGCCAGATCATGTTTTTGGGATTGGAGAACAATTAACAAAATAAAACATTTTGTGAACACTTTTGGATGACAAATACTAAAACATATTGTATGTAAACAAGAGTCGGTCTTAAAATTAAATATATAATATTTCCAAATTCTATAAATGGATAACTTTGAAAACTAGCGTTAATTGAAAGTGATTCCAAAAATGAGATTTATTCATTTATTTTAAGTTTAAAAAAGTGTTAAAGGAGAATTAAACTGTTTCTTAAGAGTTGTCAATAAAATGTACAGTAAAATTTGATAATATGATAATATGTGATAATATACATGTATGTCACTATATTCTTGTTCACCACTTTATGCTGTTCACCACAACCCTTTTGGGTTTGATAGGAGGATAGCCCTCCAGAATGTAGAACTTCTAGTAATGTTACTTATACAGTATACACTACAGTAGTATACAGTAGTTGTACATTGCGCTCCCAAATCCAAAAATCAAATTTCTTGAGAATCCTTATTTTTACCTCCAAAATGTCCTCAATTTCCATGATCTTTTAAAAAGTGATCATAAATTTCCTTAAGAACAATTTTTTTATTTGAAACATTTTCTCGATAGTATTCCTGTTTGAACCTAAGATTTGGGAACCCTACTTGTACAGTATTATCATTTACAATGTGTTTTCTATTTTCATGACTATAACCTATTGTTTTATATTCATAATATTATTTAATATTCTTATCAGTAATACATAAACCCTATTTATATAAATATATTCTGTACAATATATTGTAGTCAATGCAAACTATACAGTATATTTAAAACTACTTCATAATCAAATTATATCTGCTATGTTAATCATGATTAAAGAATTATCTTATAAATACTGTACTTGCTTCAAAATAACAGTATCAATTTAAAATAATATTTTAATATTATATATTGTACTATATGACAATAGACGTTCAATGATCGAGGTCAGACCTTGGTAGATATACTGTAGGTCCGAGTCGACCTGAGGTCGGCCCAAATGAGAAAACTTGATGAAGTCGACCTAACCTAGGACTATATGGAGCCGACCTAATCTCAAAGAGATCCTTAACAATATTTTAACTAAAAATTCCATTTTTATCATAATTTATATATACGGTAATCAACGGATAAAACATATTGTTGAAAAATCCTTTTAAAATTATTAGTATTATAAATTTTATTTTCAAAATAAAATCATAAAACTTCCATAAGATTAGGTTGAATGTAGTACGAGGTCGGACCTGAGGTTCAAGTCGAGGTCCTCGATATTATATACAAGTAGAGGTTGCGGTAGAGATCCCTATTTTTGAACCGAGGTCGGGTATATTCGGACCTCAGAACATGTAAATGTATGACTATAAAATACTGTACTGAACCGTACATTTAGAAAAATATCAAAAATTTTTGGTACAAGCAAAAACCAAATAAAAAAATCAATTATAATTTATTAACCGACAAAAATACGACAAGGAAATTGGTTTATATGTATATGCCTTATGAGTTGCTAAATTATGGTAATATTCATGGATTATTAGAAATGTTGTCAAAACTAATACATAATGCACATAAATAGAGATTAAATAAATAGTTCCAGTCAATTTTCCTATCAATAATACTACACAATAGAGTTGTAAATATAATATAATAGGTTTGACACTTAATCAAAATTTATAAATAGTAACATTATAATATTATCCAGTACTAGTCCTGTACTATACTATATACTTGTATCCTGTACTGTATTTATATATCATTGTATTGTGCATTATATTAGGTTTTGTGTCGTGCCTGAAGTGATGGCGATAACAAGTAAGTTTACATAACTATTATATAAATAAACTAAGTTAACATAATTTATTTGCCTTTTCTCTCCAATCCTATCATTACTTATTCTTGATGTCAACCATTATATGATTACATGATTATATGGTTACATAAATATTATATTCATATTTATGCATTTTTATTATAATATTATCAAAAATGATTTCTTATTGTAACAAAAACTCGTAATTAGTTATCATTTTTAAATATTTTTTGTAAAAGATTTAATTAATTTAAAATGAATGATTTCATTAATACTGGTATTTTTATGATATTAATTGCCAGATAGACTACTGTAAACCTATTTATTTTGATAGATGATTACTATAGAGGTGTTATATAGTCAATATACAGTACAGTATTTAGATAATTATATTCATTTGCAACTTTTTAAATTTAATTTAATTTTTTATTTGATTTGATTTGTGGTGTTTGACGTTGAGTCCTAAATATTCAATAATTAATTTAAAGTTTATAAAATATTTAAATTATAAAATATAATATATATAATTATAAACTACATATTCATATTAAAATTTATAAATCAAAACTATATTTAAAATTATTTAATTTAGTAACAACTAATCAATAGGAGTTAGATATAACTGATTATTGTCAAAATTTCACTTATAACTTAATGTTTAAAAGCATTTGGATAATTATTTTAAATGCCAAACCTTGAATTTATAGACTTCAAAGAACTTTATATTAAAAATGAAATTCTTGGCAAACGTTAATTTAAATATTAGATAAACTATGAATAAATTTTGCATATTTTATAATTACAGTATTACTATTGTTGAAGACTTATTGAGTATGATTTTTTATCATAAATTATGCATAGTTTGCGCAACAAATATAATAAAACAAATAAATATTTAATAAACAAAAACAAAAGTAAATGTTATCTAAGGATTGAATGAGGAATTAGTTTAGAAAAAGAAGATTAGAATTGGTTTAAATGTATTAATCATTGATTTGATGCCAAAACATGAAAACATGTGAAATGATTCAAACAATTTTAGTCGGAAGTGTTGATAATGTGTTTCATTTTGCTTTTTATAGATTGCAAATATCAGCCAATATTTACTTTTTTAAATATAAAGTCCAATTCTTAAAACATATGACTTATTCATTAATAACTAATCGCTAGTTATCGTTAGTTTTTGTATTAATGTTGTTTTATTTTTTAAATACATAAGTGCTTTGATAGAATATTAAATACAAATTGTCTGGGCACAATTTCTATTAAATGTTTAATTTTTATTTACTTTTGCAAGTATAGTACTAAATTTAACCACCTACAATATATTTTATAATAGTTCCACAATAAAATATAAGAATATTTTATATTATTTTATTCATTTTGTACCAGATTTTTATTATTATGTGTGTTAAAAATTTAATTGTATAAATTGTATATATAATAAACATTAAATTATGCAGTAAGAATTAAGAATAAAATTTTATACTAGTAGCATACAATCATTAAGATATTGTTTAATTAATTTTTAAAAACATGATTTAAAATTGTAAACAAAAATATATTTATTAATAATATAATTAATTCATTTAATAGTTACATTGATATAAAAATTGAATGATAATTAATAAATAAAATAAAAGTCTATAAATCAATCAAATATTTCTAAACAAATCAAATGAACACTGAAATGAATTTGAAAACAATTTGAAGTGAAGAGAGAGAGGAGTGTAGTGAAGGAGTAATCATCTCATCTGAAAGAGTGGTCATCTGAGGTGACCAGAAGTGATCATTCCTTCTGAGTGGAGCCATAGAGAGCGCCGCCATCCATGAGAAGACAGGTGCCCGTTATGAATGAAGCGTCGTTTGAGGCCAAGTACTCGACAGCACAGGCAATGTCATAGGGCTGTGCTATTCGGCCGATGGGGTATTGTTTGCTCCTAATCTCCTTTACCTTTTCCATAGTCATGATGTGTCCGTATTTCCTTTCCAGTAAAGGAGTCTCAGTGACCGCGGGACTGAAGTCATCAAGGATAGGAGGATCACATTAAAGCACATATACTTTACAAATGAAATGACAGTCAACTCACTTAATACTATTAACCCGAACCCCCTTTGGGCCCAACTCTTGGGCCATGCATTTGGTGAGCATATCGAGTGCTGCTTTCGACATACAATAACATGTGGTCTTTGGACTCTATATATTTGTACAACAATTCAAGCTATTGTTAATCAATCAAATAACATATTAATATGAGATAAATGTGTAGACAAGTACTGACCGGTTTCATTGAGGCGATACTCGATATGTTGATAATACATCCCTTGGTCTTCTCCAAGTAAGGCATTGCCAGGTGAGACAGCAGGACAACACACCTGAGGTTTGTGTCCATAACCAACTTATACAACTCCATAATCTTGGGGTCACTCATGTATGAGAGGTCTCCCACACCGGCATTGTTGATGAGAACATCCAGTTTTCCGAACTCTTGGATCGTTGTTTCAAACAGATTCTGGACGTCATTGTCATTGAGGAGGTCTGCGGCCACGGAAACCACTTTTTTGCCCGAAATCTTACGACATTTTTCGGCCACAGATTTTATCCTCTGCTCATCCCTTCCGGTGACCACTAAATTAGCGCCCAATTCGGCCAAATGAATGGCAGTCTCTTCCCCAATACCAGAGCTCGAGCCTTTGGATCCATAAAAACGATATACAATTTATATTTTATTCAAATATATGAGATTCAAATTCGCAAGAAATACCTGTAACCAAGCAAACTTTTCCATCAAATTTATTCGAGAAAGGCATAACTTTTAGTTTGAGTAATGATTAAAAGTAATAAACTTTTCAATTAATATGTGTAGGGAACAAGTGTAATAAACTTTGAATTGATTCTCAATGGATCAATGGTTATAGCTGTGGCAAACTTGTAGTCTCTGGTGTCTAACCGACTTGTATTTATACTAAAAATTTTCCAATAATTTACAAAAAATCTTTTGATTGCAATCAACTGAAGAGTTTTTAATTTGAATGTTTATTAAGAAAGAGAAATAATAATAATAAGATTTGGCAAAACATCAAAATATCTCAATTGTGAACACATGTGTTCTTTAAACTATGGAATTTCTATTTATTTTGTCCCCCATTTCCGTACAGTCCTCCCCATCAGTCCTAAACGTGATAAGACAAGAGACTGTCAATTGAGAGCCAGAGCTCGCTATTAGTTACTATTCGCCCAAACATTCACTTTTTTAATACAAAACCTGTGCTTAACTCCAATCATACATGTATTTGAAGGCTTTTCAAAAACTAAGTGCACATTTTGATAAGACTTTTAATTTTACATAATTTTTATTTATTTATACCATACTTAGCCATAGTTAAAGCCATAATGAAAATGGATTTGGCAATATTATTTTCAAATTAGTTTTTATTTGTTTGTACTTCTCTTCTCTTAAATAAGATTAGATTTTCCATAATTTCAGACGTTTTCCCCACAATATGTTGATAAGAATTGTTGTGATGTTGACAGAGGGGTCACCACACCATCACCTGGTCTTTGACCCCTCCACTATTTATACCAACATTTTATCTATTTATGGCATTAATAATGCCATTGATAATATCATCACTTAATAAGTATTTATTAGTTTATATCATTAATTAAATATTCGGAAATATTCTAAACCACTAAACTTTTAATTAAAATTATCAAAAATATTTTAAACACAAAACATTTAAAAGTTATAAGAATTTTCAATTAAATTTCAAATATATTTGGTAACGATAAAAAGGATTTAACTGTAGAAAATGTGTCATTTTAATGAATATTAATTTATTAAAATTAGACGATAATAGAGTCCGATTTTAAAGTTATTTGTGATAATAAATGTGAGAAATATTACTCGAAAATACGAGAAGTGATGGAAAGTTTTCCAAATCTTATTCTTTGGGGAAATTCCATCACTATTTATGTGTTGATTAACACATGCTTTATAAAACCATGTTTTTTGTAAATTTATTACGTTATATTATATACAACAATATTATTATGTTATATTACATAGACTCATGAAATAAATAAATAGATCTGATTATCTCATTCATTCTTATTCGAGAAAATTATCTATAATTAGAAAATAATGATTTACATGTATTGGCTTTGTTTATAGTACTACCGGTAGTATACAAATCTGTTTATTGGCAATTTTTGACTGTTTGCCATAGAATCATATATAGCATAATAGTAATACAGTAGTAATACTGTATGTTACATACAGTATGTTAAATGGAACCAGCTTGTTATACAATGTTACCTATGTTTCCACAAATTAAAACAAAGATTTACGCTAAGTTATCATATTTAGTACAGTAATATGTTTAAAATTACTATTTGTTTAAGGTAGAAAACTGAAATACACTGTAATCTATAATTAATAAAACGACAAAAGATAAGTTTGCTGGCTATCTGTTCGTAGTATTTCCTCAATTACTTCCTCACTTTTACTGAGTATTCAAATAAACCTTTATTTCTAATACTCTTTAAATCTATCAATCAACGTGTTATGATTAATAAAATGCCATTTGAGGCATACATTATTATTATTAAAAAACATTTCAATCTATATATAAAATAATATAATATTTCAAATTGTTGTAGAGTTTTAGTAGTTATTCTTATTCAATCATAAATTCTTAAATACAATATAAATTCTACATTTTATATATAATACATTTTGGTGCTGTACTGTATATTATCTATATTATGAATTCTAAATATAATAATCAAAAATAAATAACTATTATTTAATTCAAATAAATTATAAGTAAGCCATCAATGAGTCAATGATTTTTTGTTAATTTTATTGAACTTCAATAACAAAGAAGGAAATAATAATAATCTAATCGTCCATAAAACCAGTATTAAGTGAAATAAATTGTAAATAATTTTTTGTTTATTTTATTATACTGTATACATAAACTTACTAATAGTTGGATTGCTAGACAAACATGTTTTGCTAAATATAGCAATTATATTTTATAATAAAATTGTTAATTTATAAAAAAAAATTTAATATAATATAAATTTGTTTACATTTAATATAAAATGAATTATTTAACAATTAAATTAAAAGTACTATTGAAAAGCATTCAAATAAAATTAATTAGTAATTCTTTGAACAATTACTTGGGGATTTACTATTTATTAAATGAAATCAAATAAATTAAAGTAAATTAAATTAAATTGATAGGTTGAAGTTTTTGAAATATAAATGTTTATTAATTAGAAAAAATGTGAATTTCATAAATCAATGTAAAGGGACCATTGACACGAGGCAATACAGTAAACATCAATTTATAGTATAAATACGATACAGTAGACATTTCAAGGTTTACATTCAATGTATTGTATAATATTTCTAAAATTTGAAAATAGATGTCGACTCTATTGTTAGATTTCTATATTCTAGTTTATTTGAAATAAATTATTTCTATACTAAACTTTTATATACTATACAGTGTACTAATCCAAATTTTAATTTCAAAAACATTTAATTTACTTTTTATTTGTCGTGAAATGGATTAGATTTTATTAAATAATTTCTTTCCCAAGATCTAACCCCCTTTACCCCCATTACCTC